GTGGAGGCGGGGGTGGGGGCGGCGGCACTGCCAGATGCTGCTGTTGGTGGTGGACGGGATGGGGTTGCGGCGGAGGCTGCGCGTGAAGCATAGGCTGCGATTGATGGTAGGAGGGAGGTGGCAAAGGAGGTGGAGCGTAGGCGGGCGCTTGCGAGGTGGGGTTTTCCGCACTGGATTGCGTTCTCCCTGGTCCCTGGCCGGCCTGTGCCTTCCCCTTTCCAAAGGTGCGTCCTTTGGGTTTCCTTCCTGCTTGATTGTATTGGGCCGCCTTCCCCGTGGAATGGTCATGGGAGGCGTTGGCCGAAGACTGAGCGCCGTGATTAGCGTATGTCACCTCCAGAATGGAGGGATCTTCGTCCTTTATTTGCTTCCTATGACTCTTGGGGGGCTTTAGCGCACCAGCACCTCTCATGGCGATAGAGACTCTCCTAATACGGTTCCGTAACTCTGCCCATGTACCTCTCTGTGGATCGTCCAGCTGAAGATACTGTTTGGCCTGTTGGTTAAGTCCTTTCACTAGCGCTTCTCTGAAGGCGGGCACATTGTAGTTAACGGGGGCGACGGCGCCGTTCACTATCCCAGATACCCTCGCTAGCAGTTGCTTCCTAGCCAAATAGACCTCTGGATCGTCATAGGGACCTTGCTTTTCATTGTGAAAGATTTCGGTCAGACAATACTCAGGATTCAGATAGGTGATCACCTGCGTGATCCATGCCTCTCCTGTGGCTCGAACCAAGTTGCCGGAAGATATTGCTGAATTAATGTCAGCAAGGGCAGTTCCAGTGGCACACTTACGAGCCAACATGGTGAGATCCTCACCTTCCAACCCCGCATAAGAGGTGGTAGCGGTGGTGGCCCACTGCACAAAGTTCTTCTCGGTCAATGGACCGAGCTCTTCAGCAACGGCTTTGCACTCCTCCTGTCGCCAAGGGCGATTCTCCACGACAGTTTTCGTGCGTGGCCTGTTGTTGTTTATGGTCACCGTTTGATTAGTGACGCTCACCGGATTAACCGGAATGGGCTCCGTTGAGTCCGAGTCGTCCTCCGACTGCGAAGCCGGGTCCCGGTAGAGGTCCAGGTCATCCTGCTCAGTAGAGCCATCAGGATGCCTGGCAGGGCTCTCCGTATGGGAAATCCTGCCTCTATCTCTGGGCGTATCGGGCTCCTTTTTCCGGAGTGCGGGTTTCGAGCTAGGAGTCGGGCTAACCTCACCGGTAGGTTCGCGTTTGCGATTTAAGAGGTAGTCCGCAGTGGACTGTGCCTTTCTGAGCTCCTCAGTGACCGTAGTCAGAGCAGTCTCGGCTTGGGCGGCTTTCTCCTGTGCGGCTTTACACAAAAGCTTGGTCTCATGGACCTGGTCGGAGAGAGCCTTTTTGTCCATGACTAAATTGACTCGGTCAGTCCTAAGTTGCTGGATCTCATCGTCAGCAATCCTTTGGGACTCACTCAACTCTTCCTGAGATTCCAGTCTCCTCTGTTCCAACAGACCCTCATAGTGTGCCTTCTGGACATCCAATCTATTGGCGTGTTCAGATCGCTCCTTCTCAAGAGTGATCTGCAACTTTGCCACGTCCTCTCGAGCACGGGTCTCCAGGGACTTTATGTGAGCGGTCTGTTCTTCCCTGAGGATCCTTATCTCAGATTCATGTCCGTTTCCCAGGACTGTTCGCAACTGGGCCAGATCCTCTCTGGCGCGCTCCTCAAGGGAGTTTAAGCGAGCAACCTGTTCATCCCTAAGGATTCTAATCTCGGACTCGTGTCCGGCTCCCATGGATGTCTGCAACTGTGCCCGATCTTCTCGAGCTTGCTCCTCGAGAGACCGTATACGTGCAGCCTGCTCCTCCTTGAGAGTTCGGACCTGGGAATCGTGCGCTTTCCCTAGGTCTACCGCCAGTTTGGCCAAGTCCTCTCGAGCGAGCTCCTCTAGGGACTGTATATGGGCAATCCGTTCTTCCTTAATTAGTCTGATTGTGGATTCGTGTCCAGTTTTCATGAGCACTATTTGTTGGTCCCTCTCACTCAGTTGTGCCGCTTGATCTGCAATGCGATCTTGAGCCGTGCGCAACTGACTTTCCTTTTCGGCCAGTTGAGCCTTCAGAACCTTGGTGTGGTCCTTGAATGCATCCAACTGTTTGGCCGTCTCCTCCAGTTCATGATTGAGGGATCCTACTTGCTCGCGGGCGGACCCTAACTGGTTATCCTTGTCGACTATTTGGTTAAACAGAGCCTCGATATGGCCTTGCGCTGCATCTAGCTGGGCCATCCAGCTAAGCTTCAGTCGTTCCCATGCTTGTCGGGAGGATACCCATCCTAGTCCGAAGAATAGCACAGCTGTGAGAGTATGCCAAAACATTGGCAGCCAAATGGTGGACGAATCCCACCAAGCGGCAGACTCCAGCACATTGTGCACGAACTGTAGGAACGTATCCTGGCCGTGACTGAACATTGGCGACTGTGCACCCATGATTGGTGTGCGGGGGTAGTGCTCACTCGCGGGTATCTTACAGTGGTATCCGGGTGTCCGAGATGGCTCACGCCGGGTCAGCTGCAAGTATAACCTCGGTGACGGCACTAATTCAGGCAAAAGGGTTTACCCTTTGCACGTGTGGATTTTCCGAGTTAAAGAACGCTGTTCTTCCTCACGGGTTATCCAAGAACCGTGGACGGTGTGACCTTTGCGATCGCACCACCCGTTTAGATCTCTGGCAAACAGGCGTACAGAGATCAAGGCCGTACCTGAGGGTATTTCAACCCTAGGTAGCCTGAGTTTCAGGCTTTGCGGATAAGGAAGAGCTACTTCCTTTCCAGGAGCAACCAGAACCTGGACCGTAGTCCTTGAAGGGTGTTGGAATTCCGGGGGGATCAGTCCCGTTTTCCCTTGGCAGACCCAACTGCGCCAGATAGTGAGGTTTTCCCTACTGGAGAACTTAGCTCCTAGGGACGGGACGGCTACAGCGCGCAGCTTGTGCCGATCCCGTGCGAGTTGTCCTCAGCTCGCTTCGGGGGAGGGAGAATATTACGGGCGCAGCCTCTTGGCTGGGCACCGAAGTCGGGGAGCGTTTTAAGGAGACAGGGGTTTATATGTTCCTGCGTGTATGTAGTGCTTGTGCAACTGGGGGTCCCTAACCAGGTCCTCTTCGTAGTCGCGCCTCGGTGTCCACCCACAACGATAGGATCGGAGCGCGAAACCGAGGATGCTCCTGGGTTTAGAGGGAAAGGGGTAGAAATCCCTCCCGCAGTACAGATGCCACTAAAGGCCAAGCACGCAGACGGAAACCTCTCACACTTCCCTACGCTAGAGCGTCCAAACGACCAGATCGTTTCTCCACGTTTTGGGTCCTTCGGAACCAAATGGTTGGGTACTGGTTCCGAGGGGTCCAAAGGTCGCCTCACACGGGGCACCAGATCTGTTATGCCAACTTCTCCAGGAAATTCCTGGAGACCCAATCCAAGTTATCTACCAAGGAAAATTGGGTGTTTGTGGCTGTGCGTAAGTTCTATACCAGTCTATACAGAGGTCGGATGGCGAATGAGACGCTCGGCTATATCCCAGGAAGTGAGACAACACGCTAGTCCTTAAATAAATGTTGTCTTTACTAAAGGTTTTTCATCAGGCATACAAAATCGGAATCATACAAATTCATACAAGCTCCTTAGTTACAATAGTACATTAGAACAATTACAGCATAGAAAATAACAAAAGCATCAAAATGGGGAAGACACAATGGGGCACGGCTATACTCATCTGAGGTCCAGCTGAGGAAGAACTCTCCTCCTTGGAACGCTGGGCAGCCGAAATGCAGCAGCTTGTGAACTCCAAGGCACACAGGTAGGACCAGCCAAACCACGTGTGAGCTCTCTGGGTCGCGACTCCGGAGAACTTAAGTAGTAGAGTCACTTGTAGCACCTTAGTGCACTGCTATGGGGAAGGTGGGTTAACCAGAGAGACAAAGGAGAGTTTCTCCTTAAATAAACTCTTTTGGGGGCATGTGCTATCCAGCCATAAACTATCAAACCCGTCCTCTAAACTATCACTACTGGATGAAGAGGGGGTGACGAGGGGATGACGCTCTCCTAAGGGGTGGTGGCAATATGCAGATCCTACTCCTACATCAAAGGTGCCTTTTGGCAAGGTGTGAATCTTCCGTTCCCATGGACACCCTCTTGATTTGCAGATCTGGTTCCTGCTCCAAAGCCATAAACGCTATTGTCTTTAGATCTCCAAACCAGATTAAGGGAGTAGGGTCACTTGCTCTTTCCATTCCAAGAATGCCGGGGTTCGCTGGGGATTTTCCACAGCTCTCCAAGTGGGTGCAATGGCGCGGTGTCTTCTCCATCCCAAAGAGTCATGGGATACATTCCAGGGACGCACATGGTTCGTATGTGCAACGGCAGGCCCAGGCCAGCCTATTTCTAGGCAAGCATGAGATGCAGAACAAAGCAACACACAACATACAGCAATCCCTGAATACATAATGCATAGGTATTCATGCTAGAGACACACATAAGCAGCATCACCACTATACAGAAATACAAACATAAGCTCATATCGTTACATCCTCCTTCTGAAGGTGCTTCCAGTGGCAAAGCATTCAGTGGTTTGAGGGCAGTATCTGAGCAAGGCCTGTCATGGGTGGCTGCAAGTCTCACATCAGATTGCTTGAGTTCACAGAGTAAGCATCCCAGCATATCTCAAGTTCTGCCAGTATCAAGGTAGAGGCAGTGTTTCAAGTGCCATCATCCCAAGCAGTTTGCAGGTTTTAAAGATTAACACTGTGGATACATTTATTGTATACATTACAATGGAACAGGTGTTCCCCCCCCCCCTCTGAAATCTGGGCATTGGTTTAGTCTCATGGGGCTGAGTCCCTGCTCCTTAGTTCTGCCTGCGAGTTGGAATTTCATATCTGCCTCAGCTCCATTGTCCTGAAATCGGTTGCTCCCATTCCTGTATCTTCTTGCTAAGAAATGGATGTTTTGTTGAACACACCCATCCCTGGTGTGTGAATTCTAGATAAGGAACCTGAGTGAGTGCCCTATTCTTAATTTGCAAGGAAAGGGAACATCACAAACTCCATTGCTTTAAACAAGTGAGGAGCCTGTGGGTTTGACAAAAATACTGGATGAATATTATGGTGGGCCTAGTTCACAGCCACACTTTGCACTGATTTTGCACCGGTTTCCAGACATTCTCCACAGGTAGAGCACATTGCAATAATCTAATCTGGAAATTAATATGGCATATGTAATCTGGGCCATAGGATAGTACAGGGTGAGGCAGGCTCTTAAACCCACATTACACAGGATGTTTTGAATCAAGTCAGGGCTGGGTTCTTGGACTGGACTCCAACTTGCATCCTCTGAAGCCAGAGAGCAGCTGCAGACAACTGACTTCCGGAGTGCACAAGGCCTGATTTGGATAGGGACCATGCTGCAGGAAGAGAAGGGGAGAATGTGTACTGCAGTTGGGGCCTTAGCTTTCATAGCTGTGCAATTCATGATTTTGCCTTATACTCCATGAACCACATGGAGTAACCAGCTCATATAATTTGTATCTCCTTGCAATGTCTGCCAGATCACAGTCCCCATAGGAGAATGAGCAAATTCCAAGAAATTACCAAAAAGCAACTCTTCATTGATTCTTTATGAGGATCCAACACATTTTTCCAACTCAAGGGAAAAAGAGCTGATCTAAAATATTCCAAAGCAAGAAAAAGTGTCGTACATGTGAACTCCAGAGGGAAGATTCTCATATGTTATCATATAGATGCATCTTGTCATTCCAGTATTTTGCAATGCTAATAATAGTATAATCACAAAATTCAGCCTTAGATTCTCATGACACTCTTAAGATATATATTGTGATCATGCCAATTCTATCTATTTTAAAACAGTAGGAATATTAGGGGTTTTAAAACCAGCATGTTCTGATTCATTTAATTATATGTGTTTTATTTAAATATGAACTTCTTATAGGTCTAAGGACCAAAATAAGTGTTACTTGGGCAAGCTACCAACTTTTTAAAATGTTTCTATAAGCTTCCACTTGTAGGCAGTGATCTTAAATAAAGAAATGGCTGGTGGGAAGGGGGTGCTTGACTCTTTTCCATTCTTCATTGTCTGCTGATAATCACCCTCTCCAAAATGCTGAGAGACTGTTGCTCCATCTCCTGCATAACAATTGCCTGGGCCCTAAGACATGACTGTCTGCACACTGCAATCTGGGCTCTTTGCTTTTTTGCTGTACCTGAAGCACTCTACGAAAGCCTGTGAAATAAACAGTGCGGAGCAGCCTCTGTCAAGAAGTAGGTACAATCTTTTTAATATTCAAGAGAACAATACATGTGATGTATTAGGGCTAGAATATTCCAGGACTGGGTACCAGAGACTGGCTGAGCTTAGAGCTCAAGAACAATAGCCCACCAGGACTCTGGAGGTGACCAGTGAGAAACTAATGTTACGTAAATAGCCTATCCTTGGGAGTGGGGTGTGTTTGGGTGTGGTTTTTGCATGCTATTTAAACAGGGCTGTTGCCCTGAGGTTTCAGTCTTGTATCTGCTGAATCACTTAATAAAGTAGAGCTGTTCACTGCAATGCATCTTGAGCCCAGTATTTAACAACATGTTACAGCCAAAAGCACAAAGTTATTTCAAGAGATAGAAAGGACTGTGATACATTAAATAAAAAGAGATGTCATGAGATTGACAGTGCAATCCCATGCAGAGTGGCTCCAGTGGCTTTTGAGTTCAATGAGCTTAGGCTGGAATAACTTTGCATAGGATTGCGCTGATACCCAGTTCACTTAAATCTACTTAGGTCCTGTTCACACTAGGGGTTTTGGGGCGGGAGCGGGACGGATCGGGGGCGGAGCAAACGGACGCGATCCCACGGCAACATCTGGGAAGCGTTGCCTGCCCGTCCCCGATCCGTCCCTCCCGCCCGAAAACCCGCACTAAAAAGAACCACCCACCTAGGTGGTTCTTCGGTGTAGAG